GTGGTCGGAAGTTACAGGAAAATTGCCGCAAAACTTGCCCAAAATATTTGAAAATTCAGTGATCGTTTGTGAAAGAAATTTAAACTTCAGTGACAGTTTCTGCAAGTTTTAAACTTCATTGACGTTTTTGTGATTTTTAGGTAGCTTCAGTGACCGTTTGTGAAATTAACCCAATAATTTTACACGTAAATTCAAAAAAAATTCTTTTTAACCACACAATCTCCAAAAAATCATTATTACAAAATCTATTCTCCCCCAAAAAATGGGCTCAAAGAAACCCTTACTAATGTCTACGTTTATTCACAGCCTGATTGCTTGGACGATTTGGCCTATGCAATTATGTATGAGATCAGCAAGCTATGTTATCGAGTATCAGAAGCTGATGTGATTCGTGCTTGTAATCAGGTAAATGCCAGTTCATTAATATTCATGATATCAAGTTGATCTACATTTTTGAGAAGGGTCTTACTTGTGCTGACTAGGTTCCTTGGCAACATTTTTTAAGAACTATCTGAGTTCTACTAGCATATGAAGGTTGCACCAATTGTCGTGTTCAACTGAAATAGTTGCTTATATTTTCCTTTGTGCTGTTACTGCTGCAGTTGAAATCTTCTCTGATTCTTCACATTGATGGAACAAGTCCCGTAGCAGAAGACATTGGGCGTCAGGTATAATTTGGCAACCAAAAATAAAATATTTTACCTGATCAACATGGTCACATTACTATATATGCTCTTTAATGTTTTACTCATTCACTTTGTTTAAAAGAATTCGTATTTGGTTCTCTGTGTATTGCAAGATTTTTTCATTTTCTTCCCCTTTTAAGTTTATACACAGTGAGACACTCCTGTTTATACTGATTTCTGCTAAAGTTAGAATTGAGTACAGTAGCTAAATCCCTTCAAAGTAATGTTATCCAATTTTTCTCACCCTAATGCATCAATGCCATTTACTGGTGCTCATGAGGTATGGCGCCATACTTCGCATGATTGCCCATGTGCATTGTAAATTAATACTTGAAGTTGCCTGATGTGATGTAGGACAACCTTGCTATTTTGGTTATTCTTTTCCATGATGCTAATTGAAGAAGAGACGAGGTAGAAGACTATACATCACTCCTAGAATTTAGTGACATCACACTAAGGGTTAGATTGCATCACACAGTATCAAGAATGCTTTAGAGGCCGTGTAGAACTAAATAATTATCTCTCTGATTGATTATAGAAGAGCATGTATATATTTACGAACTTCACAGGACCGTCTCTTTCAAGAATGCTTCGCAAGCACTGTATAACTCATGGTGTAATTATAGACTCCAAAAGATCTTCCATTCCAATTGGGACATAGAGTACATCTATGTGAACTAAACTCAATTGTCAAATAAATGCGTCTCAACCGTCTAGAAACGCCAGACCGTAAATAGACTCAATCTAAACTGAACTAATGGCATTTTCCAAAGAATTCTGAGGACTACACAATCTCTGAGGATGACAAAATCACAAGAGTCTAGGCAGAAGACTAGTTCTTTTTAACTCTTCTTTTAGGCCTGCCTTTATTTGCCTGCATATTGATATGTATTAGTCCCAACATTTGTCTATCCTACCTTTTTCAGCGAGTGTGTTGAGTTTGTTTTGAATTTCTAGAAAAAATATTTAAGATTTTGAGTAGCCATTACTCTTGGGCACTATCAGTGTTATGTTGGTTATCCAAATATTATGTATGATATTCTGGAGCTAAAGGAGTTGTTGGTGAGTGCGATGGGAAAATGATATTCAGTTGACTTTACAATTATTGATTCCCTGATCTAGTAGATGCAATATTTCACACTTCCGATGCTCCAAAACGACCATTTACCTTCACATCTTATGTACAAAGCATAGCTCAGTTTGCATTACTGATGCTCAAAAACAACCATTTACCTTCTCATGTACGGAGTGTAACTCAGCATTTTCATTGCCATTTATATATTTTTATTTCGTGGAAAACTGGAAAAGGGGATGGTTGTTGCTGTTACATATTTCAAGTCCAGAAGTCCAAAAAAAAGTTACCTTCCATATTATCTCCACAGCTTTTTTGGCCCTTAAGAGAATTAGTTTGTGTTAACCCATGTTCGGAAAAAGAAGATGGCATTTTTATTTTTTATATAAATTTTACTCCAAGGAAAACTGTAAAAGTAACATTTAACAGAGGATTGACTCTTTGCCCAAGTGATTTCTTTCTTTTCCTTGGTCAAATACTGGGGAAGAGAGAAAATGTCTCCTAAAAATTAGTCAAGTAGATAAACAATGTCACTTTATTATGGAAGGACATCTTGTTCGATTATAATTTAGTTTCTCTTCAATTCCATCTGATTTTATTATTTTAGTAAATGGTATTTATAGTTCACTTAAAGTTTGGTGTATGATATGTCTTTCTACAGACGCACAAAGCAAATTAACCAACATAACTAAGTACCTTGAAATTCCATTCCAATAATTAATGCTGTAAAAGGATTATTTCAAGTATAATATTAATTATTACGTCCTAGAAATATTCCTTTTTGGTTGTGGAACACAAAAGTTATTTTTCTGCAAAAAATTATTATCAATTAGAGATGGTTTACTTGTTGAAATTATTAGAGCTTTGAATATAGTAGTTTTCTGAGAAGGCAACCTTTTATGACCTTGTTGATCTGCTATGGGTCCTACACGATAATTCTTATATGAATTGAATGATATTGGTCTGGGCTCTCGTGTGGTGGGTTACATTCTCATAGCTTATCGGGGAAGATAAAATCTAGGAATTATCTACCAAAAGAGTTGCGTCGTTCCACATCAGTTTTTATATAGTTTTATAAACGACTTATTTACTGGGGAACAGGTTATTTGTATTGTGAAAACGACTTCTTTCAATTGGATTTGGTTGATTAGTTAATTTATTCATGTGACTTGCTTGTAACTAATTACTGGTGCCCACTCTCTTTTTACTAATTTATTACTTTGTGTCGCAGCTGCTTACATATGGTAGAAGGATACCATTTGCTGAATTGTTTGCCAGGATAGATTCTGTAGATGCCAGTACAGTTAAACGTGTTGCTAACCGATTTATCTTTGACAGAGTAAGAGAGAATAATTTCATTCTAAAGCATGTTTATCGCTACTTATTTTGCATTACACGATCTTGGGAATTAATCTTTTTGCTGACAAAACTTGCTTCTCTTCATAGTACGTCTAAACTTACTCTAAAAGAGTTAACTTTTAAGCAAAGCCAAACATGATCTTATTATGTCCTTTCGAGCTTAAGCCTTAAACTGAGAATTATGAGCAAACAATCTAATTCTCAATATGTTCATAGCTCTTTGTATCACTGCATTCTTAATATATTCTTAGCTCTTTGTATACGCCATGTTGCTTATGCAGGATGTTGCTATTACTGCCATGGGTCCCATCCAAGGCTTACCTGACTACAACTGGTTCAGGCGCAGGACCTACTGGCTTCGTTACTAGTTTTTCTTCAGTTCAAATCACTTTTTTAATTATTTTTTCTTCTTTGGCACTCATTGGTGAAAATAATTTTGAGCTGTTGCTTCAGTGATTTTGGTAAAATGAACGCTGAATGTACCGATTTATTAATATGATGGCACCCCAGGACATAATGAAGGTGGATACGAGTCGTCGTTATAGTTATCTTTTCTTTCATGTCCAGTTTTTGTGCAACGATAGTACTTGATACATGTTGCCGGGAACTAAGGGTACTAGCCAATGAACTGAAGCATTTAGTGCCAGTCAAAGCCTCTTTAAGGGCATTGGCATGTATTGGTTACTTTGCCACTCATTATTCTCTTTTGGTTGTCCTTTTTTGCGGTCTGAATATTTTATCACATTATTAGAACAGTATTGGTTTATCATTTAGTAGTTTTAGTGCTGTAATTGTAAAAGGTTGTTTCTTCGCCCTTAATGTTGGAGGAATTCTCCTTTTCCCCCACACTCCGAATCAGAGGGAGATTTGAGTAGTTTAGTTAAACTGTCACAATGAAGTGTGGTAAGTACGTTGTTTACCCGTATTTTGTACATCATTTTTGGAGCAATGCGTGTATTGAAGAAAAACAAAACTAGTTACCTACTACAACAAGATATAAAAGATAATCACATCGTTGCAATTGCAACTCTCAATGACTCAATCTCTATTCTCTGATGACATTAAGAATCTCATGACCTATGAATTGGAGGGGCGGGTGTTTTGTTGGGATGGAGTGTGGTGAGTATCTATCTCCAATGCTTTTAGAACGATCAACAGTTCCTCCTCGAACAAGGATGAGCTATATGTTAGTGCCTGTGATATTGGTGCCTTGTACATATGGAGCTAGTGGTGGATAGGTGACTATGGCGACGTTAGTGTAGAATAGAATACTTGGGGTATTAATTGTGCTGAACAGAAGGAAGAGATGGAGTGAGAAAAATAGCGATTGTGACCTGTTAACGGTTTGTGACCATTAAATGATTTATGACTTATTAGTTGTGTGATTTGTTACTTATGTGATTATGACCATTAAAATAATTAAATTAGTGATTGTGTCTAGTTAATTGTGTGATTTATGACTTCAACCTATAAATTGTGTAGTATGTGATTATGACCTTATATGATTTGTGACTTAGTGTGATTTTGATTTATAAATTGTATATATGTGACTATGACCCGTTTAATTTAATTATAATCAACATTTATCAGTGGTCACAAATGTGATTATTTGATTTATTCCTCGGAGACCCGCTCCCACGATATCATTCAATATTTCTTTGCTCACTATTTGCCAAACCACCTAGGCACTAGGCCCAATGTAAGTTGAATCATTGAGCCACGCTTCATTATTGGAAAAAACGAGCACCATGTATATATGCAAGTATATTTTTAGTATTTTTTAATAATTAATAATTTAATGTATATAAACTTTTTCTAGAATTTTTTGCTGATTTGTAACCTGTGTTATTATTGCTCTAATTTCAAACTTGATTGTTCAATGCCACGTACAATTTGAAGTCACTAAGGGCTACAAAAAGCACGTATTTCGCTTGAATTTTTCGTTTTTGGTCGACCTAGTTTCATGGTGCTACGCCTTACGGCACTTCGCTTGAACCTTGGTGCTTTAGTAGGTAATTTCTTATTATGATTTTTCCAGTAATCTATGAATTATATTGGCATATTAATTCTTTTAAAATTTCAACTTAGCTCAAAGTAGAATCCTGGCTGCACCCCTAAATGTTCCATTTTCATATAGTGTTATTTGCAATAACTATGGCTTCAAAAGGTACTACTACAAGTGAGTCTACATCTTTAGTTCCTTCCTAGTACATAAACTACAGAGGATATAGTAGTTTACCAGCTACAGTTGTTTATCATATCCAAAAGTTCCAATTAGGCTAATGGCGAACCCAACCGTGAATGTAAGAGGTCAAGCATTTTTGTTATTAGGTTCGGCAGCTTACTCCTCTTCTGATCCATTGTCTTCTTCAAAACTGGGAGAATCAATCTCTTCATAGGGACCTACAGTAGGATCATCTTACATCAGAAAAATAGTACATACCACCAGATTTGATATCTGAAAGGAGAAAGAATGAATTCAAATTAGTCTTCGTATTTCAGTTTTTAGTTGAGTTTTGAATTCATTTTGGGTTTTGTGTTTTGAGTGTCCATTTTGAGATCGTCGAAAAATCGTTCTTTTTGTCATTTTGAAAAATTGTTTTCAAAAATTAAAAAAATGAAGTTTTGGCTTGGTTTAACTGAAAACAGTCAAAATGACTTTTTTGACGTTCTCCGTTTTTTTTGTAAATTTTAAAATTGTTTTTGGAAATTCGTTTAGGTAAGTAAGGGGTTGTTTGTTTCTGATTTTCAAAATCAATTCTCAAATCAATTCTCATTTTCAACCATACATTCTTCAATAAAATAATATTTTCTATCACATCAATAATTTTTTCTTCTTTTTCAACCACACATTTCTCATCATATCACTATTCAAAATCAATTCATCCCCCAAAAATCTCTACCAAACAAGCACTAAAATGTGTTTTTAGTGTTTTCAAAAATTGAAAATGACTTGAAAACAGCAAAGAGAACATGTCCTTAATTTTTTGCTCACACAAAACACAAGTCCTATGAAGAAGCGGGTGATAGGAGATAATTATTGCTGTGGAATATAATATATAAGCCATCTATACGGAATAACTCTAATTGTGTCATGTATCTCTAAGCTAAGACTGACTTATGGGATACTTAGGCAAACTCCCCTAGCAAACCGGTTTAAGAGTGAGTTCTGCCCAAAGTGGTTCTAACAATTGGTATTATGGTTTTGGGGGATGGTCATTGATACTGACGGAACGACTTGGGGAGAGCTACTTAAACTTACAATCATTTCCTATATGTACGAGCAGTGGAGATTTCTTTACGCTGACGACGGTGTTTCGCTGAAGAACCACTTGCTGGCAACTTTTCAAAGGATTCCTCCAACTGCCCTTTTGGATTGACATCGCTATCTTCATGGTTATCTCAAGGGACTTCCATTCAGGCATCCAAAGCTTCGACCTCAATAAGATTTATCTGACCTGGACTTATTTTCGTTAGCAATCTTCCTGTGTCTTTTCCTCAAAAATGGCTGAAAATGCGGTTATCTTTGCTCTATAATTTCTTACAGAAGGCGTCAATTTATTAACATCAAAATTGAAACTAAGAAATTCATTTCACCTAGCCAAGGTTCTCTCTCCTTGAACTCAATAAATCTACTGAAATAAGAGTTCGAAGGGAATGGCTATTTAAAAAGAGTGTCATTCAATTTATTATCCGTATCATTTTTGTTTGAATTCATGTCTATTTATAGATATTTAATGAAGTCAAGAGGGTAATTTAGTCATTTTCTCTTTAGCGACATGCGACGTTCATTAATTAGTTTTTATATTTTTTTTAACTGAATCAGTTGCCTTTTCATGTTTTATTTCCTCATGTGCCATGTTCTTCACTCGATTGTCATGTAATTTTCAAAAGGTTTAGAATTCCTATTCACACGTGCTTCAATAACGATTTTATTGATGCTGAATGGCTTGTGGAAAAAGTATTTTTGCTCATTCAACAATTTGCTCTCGCACGCCTCATGCGCTCGTTATTTATAACAAAGATGAAACTTATGGTATAGAAATGCTCGTTGATCGTACGGTATAGATTCGCACACGATCTCATAAATTTGACTTGACTTAGAAATCTCGATGACAGTGGCATAGTGGCAGAGGTTCGGACATGTGAGCTCAAGATAGAGTATAACAACAATGGTCAAGATTCTCACTACTAACTTTGACTTGTTTACAATTTCTAATATTAATAAATTAAGTCGAATAGATATTCTCACTAGCGTCTTCTGTCAAATAAATTGATAATGTCAAGCGTACGCACATATATATGAAAACCCCAAAATTAGAACCCAGATGCTACATTGCATGCTCGTATACTAAAGGGCTTCCAACAAAATCGCTGAAAAATTACAAACAAATGCACACTCAAATCCCATCTCTAAATAACACATGCAAATTAACCTCAAATACTTACAAAACGGAAGCTCGTCTGGGTTGGTTCCATGAACACCAGCAATTGGAACACATCAGATATCAGAAGGAAATGTCTAATCCAAAATGCTTTTCCTCATATAAAAACAGAACTTCATTATCTGTTGGATTAAACCTGAGCCATTGTGGAAAATTCAAGGCAACCCTCCTTTCTCCACCTTGAAAAAAGGCCATTACGAGCTTCTTTTCTGCCAATTTGGTGCTTCGTGCAGAGCAGATATGTAGTGAATATTTTTCTACTACAATGATTTTACAGTGGTGAAAATGATTATTCTTTTGAGTTCCTTGATGGCCATGATTATTAAATGTTAAAAATCGAGGCCTTCAATAAATCAACGGCCTTAGTTTTCAACTGTCTAACTCGCCAATGCTTGATTCGGCTTTGTAGACATTTCAAGAACCTCCTGCATTCCATCCACTCGAGTTTAACAGACGATGGAAGGATGAGGATTCTTTCAATGTTGTAGCTCACTAATAAGATACTCTTCGCTAAATTTGATCACTAAAAGACTAAAATACATTTGATCAATAAAAGACTAAAATGCTCGCCCTGTCTTTCGAAAATTCCTACTCTTACACTAAATGATAAATTCCAAAATCCTTATTTTCTAACATGCAAACCACCTCCTCCTCACTTCTTTTGTGAAGTAATTCAACGTGGTCATAGGTCTCTTTCTTAGAGAATATTTTTTTCCCAACTTATTTTCAACCACACACTTTACGGGACCCATAACTTTTATCAACTTTTCAATCACAAATTTAAAAACGTTCATGAAATTTACTAAAAATCTGATTTTTGTCGAAATACTAAACAGGGGCTAAATAAAGATCACACGCTAAAGTCTTGTCACGACCTATTTATGAAAATTGTGTACACGCATCCTTTTTGAAAGTAATCCAGCTTGTAGGTGGGGGTGCATTTCTGCTTTGAGTTCCGTTGTGGCAAAGATGTTTCGCTAAAATAAAGATGCTTCAAGTTCCAGTTGGCGAGCACAGCCACCGGAGAGGATTTGGTGACCATTTCCACAGCAACAAGCCAGTTTCTGCATCTAGAGGTTACCGAATGGAAAATGTATATGAAAAGAAAAAACGCAATGCACCTATATGCACACAAGATGTATATAATGCTAGCATCAAATGAAACGAATCCACAGGTAAATCCATAGCATATTACAATATACATTTAAGTATTCCATTCTGTATACAGACTTACAGAGTTATTGCAATAATATCAGTACAGCGTCCTTTAGAGTTTGATACCTTGAAAGCTAATACTACAATTTTAGTTACTTTCCCATATACGACCTACAAACACAACAGGATTACCTGCTACAGTATAAACTTATTTATCCTGTCGAAAAGTTCTGATTAGGCTAATGATGACCACAACAGTGAATGCATGAGGATGAGGCAACTTTATCATTCCCTTCTGATCCGTATGTTACTAGGATTGGGAGCTTCCTCTTCTTCTGATCCGTCCTCCTCCTCAATCTCTTCATCAGAATCAGTATCTGGATCATCCTTCTTAAGGAAAATCTTGCATACAACCAGATTTGTTATCTGAAAGGAGAAAGAATGAATCTTTACGAGGAAATAACTTAATTTATGCTTGCACCAATCAAAATCCTAGTAACTGAGCAATTATTCAATGGGGTAAGTACACTGTGGTAACCAAATTTTTAAATTTTGTTACCTTATTTTTGACGCCATCATTGAGTTCAGCAGCTGTAAATATACTGGGATTCACTCTATATTCATGTACGTTCCAAAGAGTTTGAATCCCTGAAGATATTTTTCCTCGGTAAAAAACAAGATGCCGCATGTAACCAACTACTTTAGTGCCATCAGTTATTTCTGCATCCATTATAGGACTCCAATAACCATCCTCTGTGACAAGGTCGCCGCTAGGCTTGGTAGTGAAAAAGAACCAGTAACTTCCATTCCCATCCTTAAATTCACCTGTGCAACATTTCAAATAAGAAATTACTTAAAAACTAAGTAGTCAAACGCTGAGTCATGGAATAAAATATCCAAACTGGCCACATAATTACTTCTCACATTAGCTTCATAGTTAGTTACGTAAGTAATTGACAGCACTATCCTTAAATACCACACCAGGCTCAGATAATGACTTGCGATTAGATTCAACTTTCCACTCACTATGCCTACGTTTGACCCCCATTCTATAAAAACTCATTTTTTTCCAAACTTATTTTCAACCATACATTCTTTTAATAAAATAATTTTGCACGTAAACCTAAATATTTTTCTTACGTTAATATACATTCTCCAAAAAAATCACTATTACAAAACTCATTTTTGAGAAAAATGTGGCTCAAACACAAATATTAACAGTGAGTTATTAGCAAATGATACGAAGAGGCTCTCGTTCAAAAAGTGGTGCAATTTTTGTTGAGCAAGTTAGAAGAAAGAGGGAACAAATTAAATTAACATGGCCTATTATAGTTGTTAAAGAATAGTTGCTTTAGATGTTCCTGTGGTCTAGTAATGATCAAATCGGAATGGAAAGAATGATTCATATAACCTACCCTCAATTTATAGGAATTCTTTGTTGATTTTTTTAATTATTAGAAACCTCAGTTTATGGAGCTATCTTCATTGTTCCCACTACGAATGAATCCTATATTACTGTTCCAAAATAGATGCCATACACCAGTATATATTTCCTTCAAGTGAAAATTGGAGACTCAGGTTAGGTCAGCCCACATCAGCTCAGGTTTAGTCACATGATATAACAATAGAGAGGGGTCAAGAATTCACAAGTCAAAAAGGGCCATCTTGGCAACTTCTTTTTTTTCCTGCTTGTCTGGATAAGCATCATGGACTATGAAATAACAAAAACTACACTAAGGGGGAGGGATTAAAATTTGGATTGGTTACTGATGTGAGATCATAAGGGTAGCTTCCATGTTTGCTGCACGATGGCATTGGTTCGGACAAATGCATTACAGTAGTTTCAAGTTGAACATCACTTTTTCTTTTGTGATTTTGTCCACGATCATGCACGCTTTAAGTAATGATCTATTTTCATTAGAATATTGACTATCTTTAATTACAGTCGATGCAGTTATGACTCTTTTATTACTGTTAGGATGAAATGGACTCGTTTATTCTGTTACTTCTCTATTGTTTGATCAAGAATCTGGTTAGCACTTCCACTTAGCTAAATTTTGATACATAATGAAATTTTAAAACATATTTAAGATGTCTACTGTCCATTAAAATATTTCTCTTTTTCTTCATATCTTTCAAAAATTTTGAACCCTTCAATTTACACGTGCCAATTCTGTATCCTCCGAATATTCTAATACCTTGAAATAGCAAAATGCATGAATTGACGATTAACATTCTTATGCCCTTGTTTGGGCCACATTGTTTCATATTTTTTCCTATTTTAAACCACACATTCTCCTAAAAATCACTCTTATAAAATTCATTTTTTTCCCAAAAAATGGGGACCAAACATGAGCTATTTGCCACAACCAATGCGTAACAATGCCTACATGTCAGCAATCGACAATCCTGAGTTTGAATCTTGACATCATCATTTTTTGGCCCCGATAAACATTTATTTATATAGAAACCTCATCCCGGTTAAAATTTGAATCGAAGGAATACTAAAAAGCACGCGGGAGTATACCACATAAGTAAAATAACTCAATCTCCCACACAGTACTTTTTAACTTTTTTATTATTCACAGCTGTGTTATTCCAGAACTTAAGAAAATAATAATAAGACATACAATAACTTCAAAATAAAACAGTAAGCTCTAACTTAAAGTCAAATTTCACTAATTTAAATTAATATAATCAAATACATGAAACAAAAGTTTTGGCTAAAAATCAAGCCATTCTTACAGCATCTTTTGAACTCCCTTAAAAAATCAAAATCAATTTTAATTGAAAATTTTCCCAAATCAAAATTTCCCCAAACCCACATTTGTCTCAGAACATAAATATGCAAGTAAACATGCAATATGAAAGGGTAAATTCTGCAAAAACACATATGACAAATTTTTTTGATAAATCATAATCCTTATCTCAGACTCACAACATGAACCCAAAAATCAGATCCAGGATATTACATTGCATGCATGTACATAAATGGGCTTCTAATAAAATCGCTGAAAAATTAAACACAACAAACAAATTTCCACCCAAAATTCCAATCTGTAAATTACTCATGCAAAATTACACACGAATACTTACAAAACGGAATCTCATCTGGGTTGGTTCCATAAACATCAGCAGTTGGAATCACATTAGCCGGAAAATGCTGATCCAAAATGTTCTTCCTCAGATAGAACAACACTTCGTTATCTGTTGGATCAAATCTGTACCCGTGCGGCAAATTCAATGCAACCCTCCTTGCACCACCCCGAAAAAAGGCCATTGGGAACTTCTTTTCTGTCTGAATTTTGATGCTTCGTGCAGAGCAAGATTTGGCTGTGTGTGGGTGGGTATTTTGAAGTCTGATTTTTTTTTTTTTTTGTTACAGCAATGATTCTACAGCGATAAAAATGATTATTCTTTCAAGTTCTTCAATGGAAATGGTAATAGTATTATAACGCGCCCACGGTAACCGTCGAATTGTATTCTTATTAGTTTTGGGGTAGTCTGAATTCCCGGCCTTATTCTCGTTATACCATGTTTGGCAAGTTTTGTTAAATACTATAATAAATTGCCATATTTTTGTGCATGTTTGGGTAATCTTAAATTTTAGTTTAAGATGGTCATAAATACTTTTATTGTGCACATTTCATAGAATCCACAATTTACTACTCACTTATTATTCACATGTTTCGTAAGATTCACAACTTAAAAATGAGTAAAAAATCACTTATTTATATAGTTAAGTAATGTTATTTTGAAATATGAAATTTACTTATTTTTTAAATTTTTAAACAAAAAGATTATTCGTGCACTGAGGGCTTGATTCCACTCTGTACATAATTTGTTATTTTTCTCCAACCTTCTCTATCTTCGATTCTTCATGGTTATACATTAAGGATGGGATGAGATCCGATGGCCCTCCCGATATGAGTTTCGTTTGGGGGACAGGGCCGGGATGGGGATGGAACGAGACAGGGATTAACTTATTTATTTTAAATTTTAAAATATTAAAATTAAACAAAAAATAAGAGTCGTGCCGAAGTGCAGAGATTTTTTCTATCCCTAAGATATTTCAATAATTCGAAAAAGCTCTAGAATCCATTCTCACGCTTAATCCCTTCCAAAATTACTGAAATTAATTATAGTTTGTTTACCAGCAAAAACACAAATTTTGAATAAAATGTGATCACACTAATTTAACATGTAATGTTAGATAGATCACATAATAAATACTTCACAATGCAATATTTATTTTATTTTATTTTTCTGAATTTTTGATGTTACCATAGTATTTTTTTCATTTATGTCTACCATTCAATTATGACATCATGAAATCAAAAAATTTAACTTTCACGTTGTTCTATTTTTCTTCTAATTTAATCCTACAATAAATGCTTGGTGAAACTATTTTTTTCACAATATATTTTAATTGAAAGTGAATTATTGAATCATCAATTTCTCAAAAAATTTTTTTTTTTAATAAACTTACCTTAAAGTGTGACTAACCGATTGTTTTCTTGGTATAATGTATCATTAGCGATAAAATAGTATCTTAATATAACATTACAAACAATATCATCAATAACAATTTCTCAATCGTTTTCTTAGTATCTCGCAGAGGATGCTTGTTACGAATAATAACACACTGTCCCATTACATCCAAACATTATCAAGCATTTCAATAGGAAATCACACATTCTAACAAAAAATTGAAAAAACCAGCAAAAACATCATCATAAATGACTCTCATATTATAAAATGGTATCATTCAAAACTGTATTATATGAACTCAAACGGTATCTCGACTTTTTCAGAGGCAAATCTAGAATCATAACAGAAATTCTTCTCTCTAAAGAAGCCAAGCATCTCAAATATTTCGAAATAGTTAACCCTAACTTGAAAAAAGAATAGTACGCACATTATATGAAACTGTGACTCCTAAATAAAAAACAATAACAATGTCACATATATCGTTTCTTTGAACAATAAATTACCTTCGCCATTGAGATTTTTTAGCCATCTTCGAACTGATGACTTTGGATTCAATGAGAAAAATCACGTGCAAGGAAAAAAGATGAAGATCACGCAAGAGTGAGGATAGTGTTTGGAGCGGGTAATGAAAGAGGGAAAGTGAGGGACTGTTCTTTTTACAATTTTCAAGCCGTTTTCCGTTTTCGATTTTTCACATCAGTGAAAGCGCGTTTTCTTTCCTATGTTCGAAAACGCGTTGTTGAAACAAGTTAAAAACTTACAAAAAAAAACTCAAATTAACAAATTTGTCGTTTTGGGTGTTTTCAAAATCCCAAAAAGAACACATTTTCAACAATATCAAAATGGACACTCAAAACACAAAATTCAAAATGAATTTAAAAATCAAAACACAAAGAGAACAGCTCATAATTGTTTTATTTTTGAAAATAGTTTTTGTGAGTTACATGGGCATTTGTGTATTTTTGGCTTGTTATATGACTTGGAATGAAGGGATTTTGGGGACGCACAAGTACATTTAGAATTATTTCCCTGAAAAAAATGGTCTATCTATAGCCCATAATAAAATGACTAGGTCAATGTTGTCAACTACTCGAACACAAGAAGAGCGGCGACGTGCATGTTAGAAAAAGAGAAACTAGGAGAGGAACTTGAATAATGCTATCTTTACTTGTCAACATTGTAGGTGACCATGAATGTCCACCTGAACTTGTCCAATGAATTAAAATGTATCTTACGTTTGACCAATCTAAATAGATCGTTAAGGAGCATTATTGAGAGGATTTTGGTAAATCTAGCATTAAGGGTAAGAGTGGGGTTTTCCAAAAGCAACAATAAGGGGACTTTTTTACTTCTTGGTTTCCATGTTGTCTATCAAATTTCATTCGATGACCCAATTATATATACTAACGAATCAACGTTTACCCATGACATGGTCATTCACTCTTTCAAGTCAAGGACAAAATTGGAAATGGCTAGGGGAATTAATTGTATTTTTCAAATGAATGAATATTAATAAAATCCCTCAAATTCAAATATCAAATTCTGATAAAAATCTAATTTTAATCAGTATCAAAACAAGCACTTAATACTGTTTAATACGGTGCGATCTGAATCAAAAACATGCTAAGCGTATTTCAGCTGAACTTGAAAGTAAGTTAATTTTTTATTTGGATATGCTACTCTACTACATATAAATAAAAAATTTATTTATTTTGACAGTATGTTATGCATTATTTTTAAATAACTAATTTGTTTTCGACTTTGATAAGGGAAAAAGGTATTTATTTTGAATTTAATTATTTACTTATAAGTGAACTACTTTTAAGCTGAGCCAAATATGTCCTAAACAAACTTTTGATGACATTTATGATTTAAATTTACAAGGATTAGTACGAGTAGATGAATTCTGAGACTGGTTTTTGGTTTCACGTTGCATTTATTAATGGACTAAAATTTCAAGTTAAACAAAAATGTTAAAAATTTATATTAGTATTTCTAATAATTCATAACCGTAGGATTTCTACTTTTTCAATCTCTCTTATGATCACTAATTATAAATTTTTAAGAAAAGCGAATAATTTTTTGCTGTTAGTTATTTTGGAACTTCTCTCGACATAATTCTTATGTTTGTATAATTACTTTGCAAATATCTTATTTTTATACATTGAAGCACGAACACACCTTCTAGTAGAGTGTTTGTACCTAATACATACTAATACTGACCATCGTCAATTATATAAGATTTGGTTATTCAAAAATCAGGTGATAATTCCACATTTTAATATTAACAAATAATATTATAAATTAATTTATATACCTACCCTTAATCCACCCACCACATCCAAACCCTAATCATCTATACACTCTCTTGTCTCTCTGTGCACTCTCCCTCACTCTGGGTCACCACCGTTGTGAACAATCTGACGAAATTCGATGGATCGATGGGCGTTGCAGCTTGGAGCTCCAATCAATGCAACACTGTGTGCGACGACGATCGACCCAACGAGAATGTGCGTACTAAGACGGGAGACAACTTCACAAATTTCAAATTTCAAAGATTAAAGATTTTCATTAGTGGCATCTAATGATTTGTAATGTCAATTTGTGTGAATGCAAATAGGAAGCTGCAATTCTACTTTTTTTAGATACTGAATTGGGCGGCGACAGCAATTTGAACAACTTCTTTACAACCACCATTATATTCTCTCTTTAATTCCCACTTATATTTCAAGATTCTTTTAATAAATTATTCTCTCTGTTACTTATTTTCTTAATCAAGATTTTTTTATTTTCTAGTTTTGTTTAGTTGATTGACCTTTGCCCTCCTTTCTCAATTGTTCACCTTTTGTACCAATTAACAGGTTTTTACTGTAGATGGAGTAGTGAATGTGGGGGTGTTTGCATTCCCAGCCGATTGAGTTTCTGTGATCGAATCTCTCGAATATGTGACCTATGATCCGTGCACTTTGACATGTCACATATTCAAGAGATTTGGTCACAGACTATTGAATCAAGTCATAGGTCACAGAATCGAGAAATTTGGTCACTTGCCATTAGATCTGGTTACGATTACATGTAACAAGGCACATGTCAAAGTGCTTAGATCACATTTCACGAATTCAAGAGATTTGGTCATAAATCCAAGAGATTTGTTCGCAGGATATTGAATCAGGTCATAGGTAACATATCAATGCATATGTAACAAGTCACGAATTCAAGAGATTTGGTAAAAGACCATTGACTCAGGTCACATGTGCGTATGTCAAAGTGCATAGGTCACATATCTCAAATTCAAGAGATCTGATCACATACCATTGATTTCTCCGACCTCAATTATCCAAATTGGTCACAAATTCAATTAATCAGAGTTCTGCGAAGAAAATTGAAGTTATTTGCTCCTGTAAGTACTCTGTAAATTATATCGGGAGGGGAAGGGGGTTTCAATTTTCAATTTAATTTTTTTTTTAAATTATACCAACAATGTTGAGTCGTGGATGAAGAAGATGACCAGTCGTCAGAGATGCTCAGTCGATGTTATCCAACGGCCTATTTTTCTCCCTCTATCTCTCTATTTTGAGCTGACGATGCTCATTCGCCGTTCATGAAGTTGTCCAACGAGGTGAATGCCGACAACTGTAAGAGGGAATGACGACGGGGCAGGTGTGTGAGGGTGGGGGACGGTTGTTTGGTGGGATGGGTACATTAATTTAATTTGGTAATATTATTATTTAAAATTAAGATATAATTAACACTTGACTTTTACATTTTTAAACTTAATGTCTGAAAATTGATTTAGTGCATACTTAATACCCAACTTATCATTTTTTTACCATCTTCAATGCAATGGGGACACGAGTCATGACAAATTTTATGTTGTAAATTTTTAAATATAAAACTAGAAACACAACGTCCAATATCCATATAAAAAACCTCTGTTCTAAAAAGCGCGCCTAGGCGCGAAGCGAGATGAAAACGCCTCGCTTTGAGGCTAAGCGGTAATTAAGCGGTCAACGTCAATGTTGACCACTTAAAGGCGCGCTTTCTCCTTAAAGTCCAATTTTCCCCCCTTTTTAAATATAAAAAAAAATATTGACACTACGAGGCTGAACAATCTTGTCTATAACCAATTTAATGCGAGGTTGATGAACAAGAAGAAGAAGAATGCCAAAATAGAGACTTTACTAGCAAGTGATGCTACTAATGCACAATTATGAATTGTAGAGGGATGTGATGATGAGGGTGATGAGGAGAATGATATGATGGAGAATGATATATTACAACCTACAAGATGTACAAGAAATGATCAAAATGAAATAAGGGAGCCCGAGAATGATGATTTTGTATCGGATAATACGGAGGATGAATTAGATAAGAAGAAGATATTGAATTAGAGTCTGATAAAGAGTTAGATTAGATAAGATTTAAACTACAAGTTATCTACTTTATGTAATTATGATTTTGAAACTTATCTTTATGAATGAATTACTAAGTAAATGCAGTATTTTATAATTTTAGATATTTGTTATGTATTATTTGAATTGTTGAATTTTTTTACAATGATTAAAAAATTTAAAAAAAATAAAATTAAAAAACGCTTTTTTACGCCTAAGCTTCGCCTAGGCTCGTAAAGCTTGAAGCTTGGCCTCCACGCCTAGTCACGCTTTACACTTTTTAGAACACTGTAAAAAACACGATGTGCACAAATACTTTCTTAAACTTATATTCCCATAGACATAATATGTCAAAAAATGAAAAAGAGAGGCGCAACAATTTTTTCAAGAAATCCCCAATTTTTAATTATTAAAGCATTTTTTTGAAGCAACATAATGGGAGAAAATTTCAGGAACATGTCAAAAATGTTCTTCTACAAAAATAAGCCAAAAAGAGTATATTAATTTTATTAAAATATAAAAAAATGTAATCAAGTAAAAATAATTTCAATAGACATCTCGTCCCATACTATTTTCAAAAGTTATCTTGCGCACTTAAATTGCCAGAAATTGTATGCTTGATTGTTGATGTGACAACTATTTTATCTAACCAATCATAGGTAGGAAATTATTTCTATTTATCCGTGCTTTATGGCATTGAGAGAGAGAGAGAGAGAGAGAGAGAGAGGCTTATGACAAATCCAGAAAACGAGAATATGAAGAAATGCAGTCATTTTATTACAATGTAGGAAGAGTGTTGAATTTTACAGACTTGGACAAGAAAAACATACCCATGAACAGAATAGCTATGTACATTGCTCTGCACTAAATAAAAACTTCACGAATTGGATAAATGCAGCTATTATGAATTTGAAGCAGCCAGAATCACGGTTGAGTGTCAATGAACCGAGCCTTCACTTCCAATCGAGCATGTCTAGGAGCCAGAGGACTTGTTTCTCGGAGCTGGCAGCATCACAGAAATCCACTTCAATTCCAAACACATCAATTATACCATCATTATCATGGTCCATAAAGAGCAAAGAGATCCAAGCCCGTATACCAGACACGAAAGGGTGGGCAGGAGAGATGTCGAGGTAGTCAAATGCATGGGCGCGATATGCTGACCAATCAATGTAATCAAAAACTGATTTGTTTATTATGCAAGCAACTTTATTGGAATCCTTTCGACCTACAAGCACAGAGACGCTCACCGTCTGGTCAGATGGAATGTTAAATCTCGGCTCCACAGGCAATGTCATCTTATATTCTGGACCCTCCAAGTGAGACCTTAGCACATCACTGATCCCGGGTGGTGGAATCCAGCTTCCCTTCTGGAGGACGAGCCCCGGTACCACATCTGAGAATATCAAGCTTTGTTTGGACCAAATATCAATATAAAATTCCAAGTCCTCGAAGGAAAGCCTCGGCGGAAGGAGAGGTCGTTTATCCTGACGTTTATAGAAGGTTTTGAATAATTTATGATAAGTTACTGTGGGAGGGGAGGGCCGCTTGCAGACTGATGGCCATCTCTTTGCGCACAAGCATTTCCAGAAGTAATCATCTCGAGCAATCTCTTGCCATTGCTTACACACTAACATACATGTAGCAAGGTCTTCGCCTTCCAGCAGAGGGAAAACAGCCTTCAGAATTTCGTCGCATGCCATTTCTAGCACAATAAAACAATCCAGATGGCAGAGTTTTAATTTCAATAGCTGGTTACTGCATTAGACTGGTTAATGATTGCCGATTCACATGAATTCCCTGAAAGCAATAAGGCAAATTCAAGTTCAGAAGCTACATTTGTATCTAACTATCTTTATAGAAATACAAAAAGCATTCATAAGCCTCCACGTCAATTAAAGAACAAGAACTCTAAACAATAACCCATTTATCTTACTTTTATTCTTGTCGACTATGAAATCCAGTGATTTTACGTTTATGAACTGAAACGCAAGAGATATCTAGATCATGTTAACATGAGTCATAATATATGTTCCTATAAATATATAATTGTCTCCAAATCAGTTCACAAAGTAAAGCTGTAATGAAACATTTGCCACAAAGAATCAGACACTACATTGAAGCATCAACGAACACAGAAGCAAAAGTCTTAGTTATTATACTATCCAATGTTCGTACCAAACATGAACTATACGTATGAGGCGCTACCAAATTCACTCCAAAGTTTATAAACATCAAATTATACACTTCAAAGAACAGTCCAAGTAAAAAAAAAAATCACTTACAGAGATTCCAATATACCTACATGTAATTATCTACGGTAAGTTATAAAATTATCAAATTTGCGCCCCTTTTTAAATGCAAATTAATGAGATGATGTGAGCATATGAAATGATTGCCTCCTGGAGATAAAAATCAGAAAATGCCCTAATATACAAGATCATAATCTGAAAAGATAAAAATAATATCTGAAAAATTTAATGATTTTATACTCCATTTATTAATTTGCAAAGTTAATTTACCCCAAATAAATTAGAAACGGCTCCGAAAATTTGATGTAACTGACGAAATTCATTACCTAGCAAAAAGAAATGGAAAATAGTCGAAGACAATAATTAAAATGCAAGAAAAAGCAATATTCCCAAAAGCAACAACTTCAATCTATCGATTCAAGAACCCAACAGGAAAACCCATAAAACTAATCCACATTTTCGAGTAAATAAGGAAAAAAAAGGGTTTGATCAGAACTAAACCCGAGAAGATACTAAGATTACCTGACGAAGGGTAATGAATTTATATTTCATTTCTTAATTAGCAAAGTAAACCTACCCCAGATAAGAATAGAAAATTAAAGCGAAAGTGCTCTGAAAAAATAGATGAAAATGAAGAAATTATTACCTCGGATTCCGTCGGAGTGCGTGTTGAAACAGGGGAGTCACCCGCAATTATTTTAGAGAGAGAGAGAGAGGAAGAGAGTATTTCACGACCTATATTATTAGGGATAATTGCAGTCATGGTATCAAACGTTTCGATTTTAAGCAGACTTTGCCTAAACTTTTATTTTATTGCATTTATGGTATCAAACATTTCAAAAACTCGCGATTGAAGGCCAAAATGTTATTCTTCCATCCAATGTTATCCACTACTGGTCCAAGTGGGGCTCCCCTTATTTTGTGAGCGCTGAAATGCTACCCAACGGTAACTCGATTATTCACATCATAGATTACATTGACTTGGAAGGAGATGATGAATTTGGGGAAGGTTAGTTTAGGGTAGAGTGGGGGTAGGGGGATGAACGGTACCTTCATTTTATGTTTTTTTGGGGGTTGAGTTTTTTATTTTTTGTTTTAATTTAATTCAACGTTACCATTTTACCCCTTTAAAATTGGTCAAAATCAATTTTTGGCTCAACTAAAGGACAAATTAACAGAAATCATTTATTTGGATTTCAGATGCAAGTTTTTGAAATGTTTGATACCGTGGGTGCAACAAAATGAAAGTTTAGGTAAAGCCTGCTTAAAATCAAAGGGTTTGACATCGCGATTGCAATTTTCCCTATGTATTATGAAGGATGAATTAGAATAATGGGGTTGCTGCTGGGTCCCATTGTTTTCTATAAATTACGCATGTGATTAGAGCCAGATGAGATTGCTAAAAGACAGAAATGCCCCTTTAAAATGGAAAAAACAAAAGAAAGATAAAAGTGATTCTACTTGGCAATATTTTTTTTGGAAAAAAATGTTTATTTTACATCATTATTTACAGATTTTTTTACTGATGAGATGACGGTAAATTAAATTAAATTAAAATTATCAAAATCTCTTCACCACTTAAATGTTTGTGTTTATGTAACGTGGGTTGGAAAAAGGACGTGACGTTCTACCCTCTTTCTTAGGGAAATTTTGCGAGGCGATGCAAGACCAGGCAGTAATATTTTTTAAACCACTTAAAGGAATTAACCTTTTTATTGGAATAAACTTCAAACTGGACAGGGCTATAATCCAATTTTCACAGGGCAACTTACACAATATGATAGCTGAGGAAAAAGTCCTAAAGAGCCCCTAACCATTCAACACCATCAAAATCGAAACAAAATTTCTTGCCTTGCTGATTAAATCTAAAATTAACGGCACTTCAGCAACGTTTTTTCGAAGAATTTCTTTGCATTTTCTCAAAATCTGTAAATATTCCACAAAAATCCTACAGCTGAGTAATTTCTGAATTTTGATCAAAATGACTCACATTTTGTTTGATTATTCAATAATATGTTACAGATTTTCATAATTGTTTAGTAACACGACAGCATCGATTAGTTAATTCGATAGATTTATGAGCATGTTTGGATATATCTAAATCGTTGATATATTATTAAAGTATACGTTTGTGATTTTTTTCTTTTTTTTTGGAATTTTGTTTGTGTTCGCAATATGAAAATTCAACTTTGGATTAATGGTTCTGAATTAGCATATATGAAAATTCAACTTTGGATTAAAGATTCTGATTTAGTATTATATGAAATGGATCAATTAAAAAGATGCACAAAATGTGTTTTTGAAAATGCAAATATGAATTATAAATTAAGTCTTTGCTTTGTATTAGAAAGTAACATGCTCTATTACATTTTAATAAGAAAGTCACACACCATCTAATTTGAATTTTCGTAATAGAACATTTTTACTTAAGCGTATAAAGACATTTCAATTGATATTCAAATCTTACCCCCCAACTTTTTTGAGTTTGATATGAATTAAGGTTGTCAATTTAAAAGTGACATGTTGCATAACTTTTAAATTAAAATGTCACACAATGTCTAATATGATTGTTTTATTATACATAGATCAGTGCTACCATACATTTACAGTGTGAACTGAATGTTTTAAAGACATATATCTTTTGAGAGATATTACTTTTTAAAAAAAAAAAAAAAGACATGATTCAGTTATAGATTTGCGAAACTCATAATTTGATACAACATCAGTTCAAAAACTACAAACTATCGAAGAATTTGCAGATGAATTTGGACCATATTTCATCAACAAATTTAATGTTTAATGATACTTTTCTCACATAAGGTTTGTTTCTTTTAAATGAAAAGGCATGTATCGTGTCACTTTTAAAATGAAAAGTAGCAAACACTTTACAATCTAATTTCACGTATAATTTACGATTAACTAAAGAATTAAGGATATTATTCTATTTGATTGATTTTGGATCGTACTAAACCTAATTTCCTCATTTTTTTCAGCTATGGTCCGCTCCTGCATTATCATCATCATATCTATGTTGAGTATCGATTACGATATATTTTCACTCGTGCTATAATCATGTTAAACTTTTATATATATTATTCCAATACAATTATCATTAATTATATATGCTTCATTGTGCATATTATTTTCGAGCAAGGGCTATGCTAATTCTCTCTATATCGTTCCAATATTATTTGTTATTAAACTTCTATACATTGCCCAATATTATTGAATGTTCTCAAAAGGGTAATCAAGTCTAATATATACCATTATAGTTAGTAACATCAATTTGAATTCGCTCTTTACTTAAAACGACAAGGGAACAATGCAAATTATTTCTTTAAATATAAAAATTATGTAAACATATTTTTGTTTTGTAGAAGTACGTTATTAACGTACAACATCTTGATAGAAATATTTCACTAATCTTTAAAAAAATTGTACACTTTTTTTGAATAAAACTTTCCAGGACAGGAAATTAAATGAAAAAGAAAATACTATTTTTTTTTTATCAATGGCTGAATAGTCTTTTCCAATTTCTAGTGAAACGTTGATTAATTACCTTTTAAAATAATCTTTTTGTGAGAAAATATTAACTATTGGTAGATGGTCAACCCACGGCGTTGTATCATGTTGATTTGTCGTTTCTTTGAATGGTTTGTCTTCCTTGAGACAATTCCATGCGGATTTTATGATAATTTTCTATCAGGAAGGCTATGTCCTTTACAATCCCGTCGTATTTCGAATGCTTGAAGGTCCCGTTGACCCGAAGTGATTTAGAAATATTCTTCTTTATTGATGGTGATCGGTCGTGCGTGTGTGTGTACAATTCTTTCTATTTGATTTCTAATTGTATTTGTTCAATCAGTTAGAACTTTAATTTTTTTCTGTCAATGAAGAATTTGTCCAACCTAGATGTTATGGTGTGATCCAAATTCCGTGTAATTTAGTATTTGGTTGATTAGAGGAAGTCTAAGGTATCTGAATTTGTAGAGTTCTAATATGATTGAAGATCAAATTTCAATAATAATTATGAGTTTTGACTTGAATGAGGACTTTTGGATGGTTAAAGGCATATTTTGGATTCCTTCTCCATCTTGGACTCAAATAAGAGGGTTTATATATAGCCACATTGTATCTCCATAATATAATATTCATATATTATTCTTTACATCTTCAACAACATATTGAGAGATTGAGAGTTTAGATTTCAATTGAGATTATTGAAATCTTAATATTGTAATCACAAAACTATTGATTATAGTGGATTGTTCTCCTTTGCCCGTAATTTTTCCCCGAATTGAGTTTCCACGTAAATTCTTGTGTTCTTGTTTTCTTCTTTATTTTATTATTTCCATTACCTTGCGATCTGTTTCATAACAAGTAGTATCAGAGTGCAATGTTGATTGTTCAGATGGCGACAATGAAGTATGGCATTCCGTTGTTGGATAGGA